ATACGTTTTATGAACAGTTCGATTTTGACGTAAAGTGCCATTTTTACCAATTTTGTCAACGCTCCCACGGCATGAGTTTTAAAGATAGAATTCTGAAAATTATTTTACAGAGACAACTTTTAGTGCTCTATCCAATGATGGAATCAGAATTTCTGAAAAAGATTCACGAAGACTGAAAAAGGATGATTCTGGGGCCCATTTTTTGATAAAATCGACTTTTCAGGCTGTTCTGCCGGAGTTAGCGCATGATGCAAAGCCAAACTAAATATGTATTCCCATACAACTCGATGAGGGCTACAAGACTGGCATATCTAAATCGTGCCGGAAATATGTTCTGTAAAAAGTGGGAGGAGCTGTGTGGAAACACCCTGTATTGTTTTACATTTCTTATTTTAAATAACGAAATGCTCAAAACGAGCTAACACCGTTTCAGTCCTACGTTTTCATTTAACAACATATTCTCTATAGGGTCACTGGTTAAAAATTTCGACTTGTAAGAATCAACTGAAGATAAAGATACAAACTTCAGAGAAATCAGTTAAACTGTTACAGTGATGTTGAAACTTTGCCCACCCATTTAGAATAAACCAGAAACAACAAAGTTGGGCAGAAACAGGAGAAACCATAGTTATATGTGAAAAGCTTATGTTAGTCGATTTCACTATATAGTACGTTTATTGAAAATGTCATAATATTTTTCTGCACTAGATTGTTTTTAAAGTTTTTATCTAACTACGAAACGACTTGACTTTGAGGAAATAAAGAATTCATTTCATATCTAATAGAAAGATAGAATCTGGTGTTGTAGTATTAAAAAGATTTTGTTATTCACTAAGTTTTCAACTAATCCTTTTATTTCAAGAAATACTTCTCTAACCAAACACCCAACTCCATTTTCTACAAATATCTAGCTGATTGGAAAGACGTGCTCATTGTTGGGTTGGTGAACGATGAGCACAAGAAACGATGAGCATAGGAAAGTTACCCATGTCATCAAAATCGGGGGCTAATCGACGATTTAATCGCGATTTAGCACCCGATTAATTGTGAGATTTATCGCGATGTATCGCAATAGGCCAATGTTTCAATAAAAAGTGGTCGATTAATCGCGATTTGCTTGACGATTATTTTTCGGAAAATCGCGATAAAATCGTCTAAAGTGACGATTATTTTTGGATGAAAATATAGTAATCATAAATAACAGAATTTTAGTAGACTAGATATTTTAACACTACTTTATACTGCACTATTCATGCCACCGAAAATCCCGAAAAAATTGGGGATTTTATCGCGATATAGAAGCCGATTACTTGTGAGATCTATCGCGATAAAATCGCCAAAATTAAGGACTTTTTGCCAATTTTTTGTCGAAAAGTCTTGATTCGTAATGATTCCGACAAAATAAGCATTTCCTACTGGCGATATAATCGTCAATATTTTAAAAAATCGCGATTCACCGCCCAAACCTTAGCGATTTTGAAGACATGGGTAAGCACAAATAAAAATGAAATAAAATAAGACTGAGTCTGGGTGAGGGTACGGGTGAGTAGGTGTCATTGTGAATTTGGACGAAATCATATATTCAACTAAGGTCCGCACCCACACGCACACTTTCACCCACATCTTTATCCACAGCTCATCCATACTCACACTCTCAGTCTTATTTTATTTTATTTTTATTTGTGCTCAACTTTCCTGCGCTTAACTTTCCTGTGCTCAGCGTTCCTTGCTCATCGTTCCAGTTCCCCTTATTATTTCAAAATTAGAATACGGCGACTACACTCTTTCAGCACTCATTCGAAATTCCCATTTTATAAAAAGCTTCTAAGTCGATCCCTTACGATATTTCTTATTATTGGTACTACTAGTATGACATAAATAATCGTTCACGTAATGGATACAATATGTATTGTCTTGTAAACTGACACAATCATCTTTTGAAAAAAGAAAACTCTTTTACGGAAACTTCCATACTTATGATAGAATGGATGATTTGCCTAGTTTTTCTGGTACTGTCAAAAACATGCAAATATCCTTATTTTTTTATCTAGGATAGAAAAACACATAAGTAGTCATACCTTCATTCACAATATCCTTCAATCGCTGAAACACTACTAATTCTATTTCTTTAGCTTCTTCGGGAAGCATAACAGATAGTTTGTCAATTGATGAAGTGACATTCATCACAGGAATGTTGCTTGATTGTGTTTGAAACAGTTGTTCAACTATATATTGAAATCTTCGACCTATTATCTCAAGTGTTGTCTCATCAAATATATCACGTGAACAAACAAAAGAGCAAGACAATTGATTATCATCTGATGATGAATTGCAAATAAACGTTAATGAGAAGTCAAATTTAGCCATTTCATATGAGTCATTTAACGACACTTCTTCTAAGTTGACATCATTCAAACATAATCTACTAACATCATCTGATACAGTGATGAAATCGAATATAGTTTCAAGAAATGATACACTCGATTGAGTGAGATGTAAATCAGCAAGAATATGTTGAAGTGGATAATAAGAATGTTCTAGAACTGATAAACATTTGTCTTGTACATATTTAACTACTTCATCAAATGGCCAATGGGGATCAACTTCGACACGATATGGTAATGTTGATACAAACATTCCTATCATATTCACTAATTCACTTCGATATCGATTAGCATT